AGCTTTTCCAGTGTGGACAATACGTAAGTTAAATGTTTAGGTACGAAACTTGGGTCGTTACAAAAAATGCACATTTTATGTAATGACCCGACGACTATGCCCAAACCGTGAACTTAAGTATCGTTTGTTCTGAAAGACTCTAAACCCATCTTATCTCTCATGAATTTTTATCCCATCCCCAAGATTCGAACCCTTTACCTTTTGCTTAAAAATGATTTATTGAATCCTAGTGCCAATTGGAAAAGTTGTCCAATTGGTACCAATATTCAACTTAAGTCATTTTTAAGGGAAACGTCAAATATTAGAATCATGAAGACGTGATAGAAATTAGTGAGGGGTAAGATGAGTTTAAACTTTTCTAAATGGACAGTGTGTAAATTAACAGTTTGAGCATAAAGACCGGATCGTTACATTTTATATTATTTTTGGTGAGCAATAATATCTTGTTACATGGTGTAATTTTCATTAGAAGAGAGATTGGGAGAGAAATCTGTATATGAGAGTTTCTTGATTTTGATACTTGGTGTATTATGTTGTAATCTTGAACACTTTGGTTATGCTAGTGGATTTAGGGTGTTAACTACATTTGTTGATGCTCAATATGATGAGTAGTCCTTTTGGCTGAACATAACCCTATTGGCAAAAAAATTTGGTATTTTCGTTTTACCTTGTTATATTTTATTTTTTTGATTATTTATGGGACCAACAATGGTATTAGAGCCATCAATTTGAAGCAGAACTCTCCTTCGAACCTTCTTTACTGGACTTTTTGTAGTTCAAAAAATTTGTGTAGATTTAGAATTTCAAGGGTGAAAGCTGTTTTTCGTGGAGATTGGCAATGAATTCTTGTAGTCTTTATTTTTCTATTGTGCGAACTTCTCGCAACATAATCTGACCCTACTTTTAAATTTTTTGATTCAATCGCTCTATTCTTGGATATCTTTGCATTAACCGTCTTAGATATTCATTTGCCTAGGTTGTTTATGTGAGAGCATCTCCAAAAAAACTCTTTAAAAATGAGATTCTCTCTATTTTAAAGAGGAATCTCATTTTAAAGAGTCAACATTTAAAATTCAGGAAGTGCTATATGTACATAAATCTATAGATAATGATGTCCATAATTACATATGACACTGGATCCAACCATTAATTCAAATCTCACACTTTCACATCAACAACATGATTTTGTCCACGTCACATTATGGACACTATTATGTACATATATTATGTACATGTAGACTTTTCATTAAAATTATGCTCCAAAAAACTTTTTAAATTAACATTTTAATTTAGAGAGTGGGTTTGACTCTCCAAATTTGGAGAGCCAAACTCACTCTCTATAATTAAATGTATTCAAAGTGTTTCAATTTTCAATGTAGAAAAATAATAAAATAATCTAATTAAAATAAAAGATAAAGAAAAATAATAAATATTTTTTGGGAGTAATAAAATTAAGTGTTAAATATAAAGAGTTTGTTAGAGTACTTCAAAATTTTAGCTTTCTAAATTTATAGATGCTCTCCAAATTATAGATGCTCTTTAAAAATAGAGAGTTTCTTGGAGATGCTCTGAGAACTTTAGAATCTAAGGGGATTACAACCTGTTTTATCAAGATTACATTTAATCTTTGTAATTTATAGTTAAACTGACCATTAAAAATTGACATGTTAGTGTTTGTATAATTGTTGAAGGTATACTATGTTAAAATTCTAAGTTAGTGAATATTTTGATGTTTCTTTGAAATTTATGTGACACATTTTGGGTGATTACATGCCTCATAAAAGTACTCACTGTTTAAACCGTTGAAACTTCTTCTGTGTGAAAAATTGGTTTTCAAGAAACTGTCCATTTTGAAAGGTTTTAAAAAGAAAAGAAAATTGGTTTTTTCTTTCATTTTTCTACCCACTGCAAACGTTTTGTTACAAAAGAAAAATGGGAAGTTCCAAGTTAGAGTCAGAAAATAAAATTCTACTTTTGATGACAAAGATGTGCTAAAGTTTGAATGAATCTTAGATTGATGATTTTGATTAAACAAGAAAATTGATCAAATTGAAATTTATGGAGTGCTTGTTTTTGCATATATCTTGTGAGTAATATTATTTATCATCATGATACTGGAATGCCTGAAATGTTACAACTTATTATACCTCACATTTCTCTCTCTCTCACTCTCTCACAAAAATGGAACTGTTCAATCTCATTATTTTACATAAACTTTCATATTATCGATGATCAATCATTATAATAATAAATAACATAATTCTTAATAAAATTAAAACTGCAGCAGAATTTTGGAAAAAAAACTGAAAGTCTACCAAACTAAGATACTACAAAAGAAACATTAGTGAGAAATGCAGTTACGATTCCAAATCTTTCATTTTAACCCAATTTTTACCTAAACATTTAGAGCATATTTGAGCCCCATTTTTTTTTCCCCGTAAAAAATGCATTTTGAAATAGTGATTTGATGGAGAATGTGTGATTAAAAAATAAGGAAAATTTTTGAATTTGAGTGAAATATTATTTTATTAAAAAATATATTATTAAAAATAAGAGAGAGAAAAATATATTTTGAAAACAATGAGTACCAAACAAAATCTTAGTTTGTGTCGCCCACAGTCACAAGGCTTTGAAATAGTCATATCAAAAGGACAATTGGACGATTTTCATCTATTTGACTATTAGTTAACAAGAATATTGAGCTTTGACGTATTTTGACCAATTTTTAAAAAGGTAAAATAGCAAATTTACATTTTATATAGAATACAATTATAATAATTAAATTAAAAAAAATAAAAACGAAAAGTTATCTTCCCCAAACCACGCCACGCCACGCCACGCCACGCCACGCCACGCCACCCCACCCCAATCTAAAACCAAACCCAAAACAAATAGCAGCTCCACCTCGTCGGCCACCACCACCCAGGGATACTTTTAAAAATGACCTAGTCACAGCCCCATAATTCCACTTTGACTTTTACACTTGACAATAATCCCAAAATGACCCATTTGAAGTAAAAAGACAAAAACGCCTTTAAGTGA